CTCAAACACCACTAAGCTTTCCTTGAGATAGATTTTTTCGTATCACCTGCATAAAATGGCTCAATTTATCTTCCTGGCTGGCTAAATGTCGGATATTTTTTTTGCTGGCAAAAAAGGGAAGAAAGAGACATTCCTGGCTAGGGACATGCCTTTTTGGTAAAAATCCTGGCTGGGAAAAGCCCTTAAGGTAAAGATCCTGGCTGGATATTGTACTTTAAAATCTAGCTCTAGCTGGCTTTGGGGAGCGGATATAATTTTGCCAGAGAAGTTAATAATCAACCAAAAAACAATTAGTGACTGTTAAAATATTACTGGGAGCGATATTCAATCACTTTTGAAATTTTTCTCGTTGGGTACTCCTGCTAATTTTGCGTCAAAACGCCGGGTCCATTTTTGGAGAAGCGGGTATTCCATGTCGTAGTGCAGTCTAAAGAGTTTAATACAAATCTCACGAACCGTTCAAATGAATGCGACATTCCTAGTCGCTTCATAAACAACCGAGATTTAACTCCTTTACTAAGTTTGGAAAACCACCCTTTGAATACGCTGACATTGTTCTCTTCAAGTGTATCTGAGATCTTTAGTTCTATACCCGCGTGGTTTGGGTCACTAATTAATGACGTTATGGCGCGGAATTCAAGGAATGTTCCGGTTTCCTGCTCGCGTCAACGTGCTACAAATCACAAAAATCAACGCGTCAGCGGTCACCTTGTCATGTGTAACGGCGTAAACAAGAATAATGATGAGAATCATGAGAAGAAGAAAGCCAAGATTAAGTGCTTTAGAGAGGTTATTAAGGTAATGACATTCAAACCTCTTAAGTCTGATGATTTGAAATTCAAAGAAATAAGACATACTGCACTATCATGTTTTAACACAAGCGTAGCTAGTTCCTTTGTCTGAAGTACACAAGTTCAGTCAGCATGATTCATATCTTCCATGTCAACAAATACACGCGCCCGCTTCAGCGTTTCGTTATGTTTTTAAATATGCAAGTCGAGTCAGAGTTATTTTGATGGCCTCCTTAGTAATCCCACTTGTTTCATTTTCCTTCGTCATCATGCGACAAAAAAGATATTTTTACCGATTAAAATGCATGCTTTTCGACCCGAGTCAAGTTCCATAATTTTGCTGTGATTTACGTATGATTTTCGCAACCCTAACTACGACGTGACTCTATGCAAAGAGTTCAAAATATTACCAATTAAGACCCTCTAGCTCAAAATAACTTACACTCAGTGGAAGATATTAAAACAGGTATCGCCGGTGATACAGGAAACAGTGTATACAGAACAATATTTTTTCATTGTCAATGTCGTTGGACCGTGTTTCTTTAGAACGAGCTTGAATGTTGAATGTTCTTCATAACACTATTTCCTTCAGCTAAACAGGAACACCAGAAAAGGTCAAGGAACTACAGATAGCGTATTCTGCTTTGCGAAGAAAAACGTTGAGGTGTTCAAATTACATATTTTGTTGTCGTCTTCGTTTCAGTGAGGACAATAAAAAGAGTCAAGTACAATACGACAGAACCTGCTTTTGTTGTCGGGTTTTCGGGAAAAGTGTGTTATATTGTTTAATGCAAGTTAGCGGAAAAGCATTCTCTGCTTTCATTTCATTTTCCTTCCTTGGAATAAACGTATTGAAAATTCACTTTTTATCATCATATATAGCTTGTCATTGATTGAAATAATAAGACGCAAAAATATATGATCATATTTTAATGTTAACAATGACTCAAATTCTCGTAAAACTGACCGAATGGAAAGTAATTGTATTGTTAAGTGTGTTTCTTTTTTGTGGTTTCCGCTTTTTGGAAATCTGCGTTAGACCCCAAAAACCAACTTTGTTTTCAAACGGATGAAAAAGCCAGAAGCCAAAATGCTATTAGAATACTATGTAAAAAAAATCCCTTCTTTGCATTTCCGATTAGTTTTAACTTGACTGATTTTTTCAAGCAATGCGCAAAACCCAAGGCCTGAAAAGCGCGCTTAATCTAAAATGGCAACATTACGTCATCCATATGGTTAGAAAAAATAACGCGTTCTGTTGTGGCTTTATTTTAATTATATCAACAACAAAAAATGTCTCTTGAATTAAATAATGCAGTTTCCGACAGTGCCTAGTTAATTTTCGAAATACGAAAAGAACTGACGGGTATTTTTAATTGCGTTTTAAGGTCACTTTCAGAAGTTTTTAGAACAAACTGGCGCTTAATATGATATTTCGCAGCCTTTCTCGAACTGAGCGGGTCAAAGCGGTGCGGATTACACAATCCTCTCTCGAACCCCAATTGTCTATTATCAATTTCAGCTCGATCATTAAAAATATGTCTGCATCTTTCTTTTCAGACACGTATTACGTTAGTCTCGCGTTCGTATGAATAGAAGGCATGCCAAGAATACGCCTTAATACTAGACATACAGGTGGTAATATAAGTTATGTGAATGAATATTCTCGTCGCGAATAGACGTGATGCTTGCTCAAATACCATAAAATCCGCAGCTGTGGGTATTATAAATAATGAATTAGTTATAAAATCTTTTCAATTTCGCAATGTGGGCATGAACACATGCGTAAGATTTTTACTTAGTAATTCGGCAATGGCGAAAGCGGAAGATAACTTCTATTTTCCTTTGTTTATTTATGATATCAATGAAACTTTATTTCATAATCTTTCCCCATATCAAAAGCTGACCCCCTCATTGCCATAAATATCTCTCTCAAAAATTAGTCTTCCATTTTCGAATCTAGGATGTTTCTCAATATTTTGCCGCAATTGGTAAATTCTCCCAGAGCAGTCCAGTTGCATTCTACAATGACGGTGACAGCACTGCTATTAAACAATGGTGTTTGTATTCTTTCATGCAGACATACAATTGCACAATGTGCAAGGAGTGATAAAGGCCATTTACTTTTATAAAGATAATGGCTTGTGACATACGACACAAAAGACGACGCTTTCGTGATTGGGCTTATAAAACCCGACGAAAAGACGCTGCATTTGTCACGTAAACTCTGGACAGATTTTCCATGAAAATTGCTAATGAAAATGGTTGAAGTCCAAATGCACTGCCCTTAGGGTCAATTCCAAATGCAAAACATGAGATGTTGCCCATCCTGGTTTCCTCCCCCTTTTTCAACCCAAAAACAGCGTTGCCGGTAACATCAAAGGCTTTCCCTAAGGTTTTTGGCTATTAAAATACCACGGCAATTGGGTAACAATCAGATTACAATCTTCGATCTAACAATGGCTAAATCGCTCACCACTTTGAAAGTAATATCAATAAACATTACAGCCAAGACCACTTGCAAGTATTAGAACGACAGTATCCTGTCGTTCTCTTCACTCGAAAGTCAGTCAATGATCCGAAACAACCCCCAAAGATTCACAGGGCTTTGCGTTTCGAGTCACGTCTGAAGTGTTCCAATTACGTAAGTCCCCTTTTCTATCTGTTCCTGCTCGACACGTCAGTAAATATTTTGTCTTCTCAGTTTCAATCCTCAAAGCGTTGCTGCCCCTGGTGACCTCGTCAACCTCTTGCGGTAAGGAGCTATAAATAAACCCACTGTCACTATTGTGACAGATATAAAAGCCAACTTGGAATTTCGATCAACAACACCATTTGCTCTACAACTCAGCCCAGTGCATACCCCAATAAGACGCAGACGTTTCCAAGTGCAACAGAAACGATGGCTTTAATGCTGAACAACATTGCTGTTACTGTCACCACGCCGTCCTTCGTGAGACCCATTTCAAGCCCTGGGCCTTTTTCGTCTTCAAGTGGCAATTCTGCTTACAAGAGCTCAGAGCGCATTTTTACCTACTCTAACGCTTACCCTATACCACACTGCATTCACAGAAGTGGAAATTTCGAGGTGCAAAAGATGGACGTTTTAGACTCAAGCTCTTTAAAATTTGACTCGGTTATCCTGGATGACGATGCCTTAACATCTCTTATTATAGAAATGGAACTGGACAAAATGAATGTTTTACCCGAGCTTCAACTGGTAAATGCCGATCTGACAGACTGTAATGTCTTAACCACCAACAGACACACAGCCTCGTAATAATTTGCGGACACAAGAACATCCACAAGTAACTGTTCAGTAACTCTCTTCGGAAGGGAGACGTTCCCTCTTTTTTATCTGGGAAATAATATTCATGCACATCGGTTTACGCGAATTCAGTTACAAGCTGGATACGAAAAAGACGTTTATTTAAGTATACTGCGAAGAGAATAATGAGAATTTGAGAGATGCGCGTTTGTTGAATTGAGCAATGAAGGAACATTGACTTGTCACAAAATGTCATTATTGTAAATATGAATTGTAAAATAAATGATAAATTTGTCAGTGTTTTGATCTCCGTGGTCTGGAATATTTCCGTGATACAAGACAACTGAGTCAGAATTTTAATACTTCAGCAAAAAATGAATGAAAAGTATCGAAGAGGAAATGAAAAAAAAAATCGAGATGTTCTGTATGTTCTCACTGATCAAATATCTGTTTTCTGTATCATTTTCGAATGTAGTCTGTGGATAGTGAATTTATTACGATAACAAATATCACGCATCGTCCACATCCCTCATAGCAGTTGATCGCTTATTCATCGTCTCGAGCTTCAGTGTTCCTGTACGTCATATTGTGTTTAGGAGCTTTGTCGAGATCGCTGAAGGTCATAAAACGTAAGCCCAACGGAAATCACTTAATTCAACAACATTACGCATGATTTATTCCATCGCTAAAGGTCCACTTAATAGAAGCATATGCCCTGTATAAAGTTAGATATATCCTTCTCACATCTCTGAAAGTCTGCACATTTTCAAAATTAGCCCTTGCTTCCTGTGATCCAAATCACGCGGAGACCATTCTCGCGCTTTCAAAACAATAACGTCGTAAACGAGTTTTTGGCGCGTTCTATGTTTGCCGTGAGTGCCTATTATGTAAACAGGAATTGTCGGCTCCAATAAAGAAATTCCCAGTCACGAAAAAGTGGCGGTCGGATGGGTATTGAGCAATCCATGATCCAAAAAAGAGTTGGCCACGATAGAAATTACTTCCTTTCGCACTGTATTTGAAAATCTTCGAACTGTTGGGTGCTTGAATTTTTATGATATTTTCGACGTATGTCTATCGGTGTGCCACCCACAAATGACTAGAAACAGCGTTCATTTGTTTTTAACCCCGAAACGGAAAGATCGTGCTATTCTTGAAAATTCAAATATTTCCTTTTCGGTCTATCCAGAATTGATCAACTTTCAGAAGTGATTTTATTCAGTGAGGCAGCTGTTTTCAGGTGCTTTCATTGTATGTGTTCTAGAAGGTAATTATAATAATGAACTACGTGACATCAACTTTGTTAGCTGCCCTCTCGACCGAGATAGAATTGATAATTGCTCCACAACACAGACTGATGTGACGAAAAAATCCTTTTTTTAAACAGCAAAATCCCACGTACACATGTCCCTCCTTTTTTTTGCATTATTGCAGTCTTAGAGAGAATGCGCCAAAATTAGTTTGTCTTCGGAAAATTCTATCTTGTAGATATATTAGGTTGAGCCTATTTGGACACATCAAAAACATTTTTATTTCGAAATTTATGTCAGTTTGATATCATGTTGTGGACAATGACGTTACCAAAGAAGTCCAGGACAGCTTCACTAGCTTTTCCCACTGACTGTGATATATAGCACTGTATGCGTTTGGTTTTTGACCCAGAAACAAATGAATTCACGACTTACAACGGCAATATTATGGAAGAACGTTTTTCGAAAACCTCATCGACAATTGCCGGAAGTGAGCACTTGTCTGGAACAGCTCTAGCCAAGATCCGTTCTACTGATGCAGCCCCCACAAAATTCCAAAATGAACTTCGAGAAAGGAAACAGAAAAAAAAAGGCTAAAGAAGCTTATGCAAAATGGATTTTCTTTGCTGAATAAAGTTTCGATACGAAATAACGTTTGTTAGATTTAAAGAGCCCCTTCTTCAATGTGGAAAGACTTCTTAAACTTCCTCACGCGGTCTACCGCATTTAGCCTCGCCCGTTTCAGGTCAGAACAAACAATGCAGTCAGAAGACCAGCTATTGTTGTTGTCTTTTGTGGGTCTTTTCCTCAAGGGATACATGTGACGCCTTCGCAATCGAATCTACGCAACTTTCAATTTGTAAGAAAGTAACACAGTCATCATATGTCTCCTTATTTTGCCTGAGTCATCGGTACAATTCCTCTTTAACTCGGAGCCAGTCGTATCACATGGTTATGACATTTAATTCATGTTTAGGCGCATGCCTCTTATTTTGCCTAAATCACACTTGCAATAGTTACACAGTTCAAAGTACTTTTCCGTTTTCGTCCCAAACTGACCAAATACAGTCATATTATGAGAGGACATTTGATTCTAAACTAAAGCTATTTAAGACAACCCTCATCACTCATAGAAGGTGTAAAGCAGCACTTTACCAACCTCGTCCCCCCCCCCCCAGGGGGCGGGTAGGAGAGAACCCTGGGAACGAGGTTGGCACTTTACTCGAAACACGTGTTGTTTCAAACATCGTTTCTTTAATTTTTAGATTGGGTTGAAAGCTAAAAAATTAGCCTAAAATTAAGACTTAGACATTTAGATTCCATTTAATGAACTCAACAGCTATTTCCCACCGACTGCAATTAAAGTATGTGGCTCCTCCTCGCAGTGGTGGGGTGGGAGAAACTGTGTCACTCAAAGACAAGGAAACATTTAGATGTACGTGGATTCAAACCAAGCAGATTCACTTGTGATCAAAAGTAGTGTCTGAAAAAAAAAATGCTTGATTAGGAGTTAGAACCTTGACCTTATATGATGACCGGACGCAGTGTTCCATCCAATTGACTATTTGACAGTTTTGACTCATCCGTATCCCCGGTTTGGTTTGTTTGGTTAAAGCTCATGATCATGTTTATTGAGCCTTATGGCCCTTAATCGTTCGTGTACTAACACGTTTCGTGGGACCGACCAAAGTCATGTTGAAAAGCTCAGAAGAGATTTCTAAACCCCTGCCGGCCACTGTATTGCATTGTTACTGTCCGGTGTGTGTGTGTGTGTGGGGGTGTGTGTGTGTGTGTGTGTGGGGGGGTACTCCTTACAAATGCCATACACAGTATGTGCCGCCCCAAACAGGCCTGGTTTTTGCGCCGTTTTGGTCTGAAAACGGGTATAGATTTCGTCCATTTTGTTCTGGAATCGGGTATGACTCTCGAGGGAACTACGGGAGTGTATGAATGTATTTATCGTTTCAATTCCAAACGAGTGATTTTTTTGTTGCTGTTCTAATCTAAGTAATGATGACATAAATTCTTTGAGGAAAGATCTGGGTATGGAATTTAAGAGGCCAGGTCTGATAACGGATATAAAAAATAACATTTTTTGGCCTAAAATAGGGTAAGGATTTAGAGCCTGAACCGGGCAACACACCCTACCAAGAATTCCCAGGAGTACCCCCCGGGCGTTACTTAGGGTTGAAAACAGTATATAAATAATAGGCAAGCAAATGCTGATGTCTACCATTACACTATTATTGTTGCAGCTCAAATCTTGATGTTATATAATTACTTGATTATAGGAATGTTTGTGTAGGGTGGTCTCTTGTATTTGGAGCGAGGGCACCGTAGTCTGCTACACAGCCGTTTTTAGTGTCGTCACGCAATGCTCCGAGGAACGTTGCGTGACGACAGTAAAAACGGCTGAGTAGCAGACTAAGGGCACCGTAGCGATGGGAATATCAAACCAATAAACGCCTTGGGCTTCACCGAGAATACGTCTTCAAATAGACTGAAAACTTTGAAATCCATATCAAATAACTCAGGTTTGTTATTTGTGAGTAATCTAGATTAATCTCGTCCATTCTAAATCAGCTTTATTCCATGGTCAGAGAGGGAGGTCCTATCACTGCCCTATACTCAGGGGCACCCAACGACAATTTTCGGAAGAATATCTGTTCGGGAGACGATTTTAGATCTAGAATTTTCGAAACATTTGTTGCAAAAATTTCTTGATTGCCTGCCTCTCCTAGGATTTTCGAACATCTAAAAAATGGTATAATTGTCTATTTTTAACGGATTTTTACCCTAAAAAGGTCGCCCAGAATTTTCGGGAGCCTTTTTTCTGGCTGGAATTTTCGAAAAGGTAACTTTTGATCCCTATAATTTTCGGATCACTAGACTTTCAGCTACCTTTAGGCTTGTCTACTTTTTAAAAATCCCCTATTTTTATACGGATATAGATGGCAAATTTATGATTTTATCGTTTAACAATGCTATGTTTAAGTGGTTTTGAACTATATTCTCGTTGGGTGCCCCTGTATACTGGGGAGGCTCCGCCCGTAAGAGGTAACTGCACTCAGGCTTCATGGGTCCCTCATGTCATGACAGGATAGGGATTTCACGAGTTAAAGTACAGTACATAAAAGGGTTAAGGAGAAACTGTAATTATTTCAGTATTAAAAAGGGTTTCAACTTAAGTATTTCGAGCATCTTACGGCTTTGGAAACTACAAAATTCTTGTTTTAGCGGTTTATTCATGCTAACAAGAATGGCCAATTACTCCGGCTGCAGTTAAAGGGATGCTGTGTTTTTTTGTAGGGTATCAACCTTTAACTTGGGGTTGATCGACCTTGTTTCCTTCCCTCGAAGCCCTGGGGACAGAGCTTGTGTACGGACGCTCCCCTCGCCTCAAAAAAAATCGGGAAGAGAGAGTCTTTAGTAGCCTCAGGTTTTCCTGAGGGAAGCGGGAGGGGGCGGGGTGTGGGGGGGCGCTGTACACAGGCTAACTCTTTAGACTCTCTTCCCGATTTTTTCTGAGGGCAGGGGGGCGTCTGTACACAGGCTTTGGGACGAGGTTGTTAGGGCATGCCGTGTAAGATTCGAGATTCGTCAATGGAACGGTTTTGATTTTTGGTTCATATCGATTCATAGTTGTGATACAAAAAAAAGTAGAATACAGTGCCAGTTTGTTGTTCACAATCCATATATGTTTTTGCAAGAGAGAATGACATTCTCTCTTGGTTTTTGTCAAGAAAATGTTCTTGCTATTAAGGCGGAATTAAGCGGTCTAGGCTGGGGCTTAAACCTATGTTTCCGGCCGCTTTCTTTCTACTTTTAGGAATGAAACAAAATAAACCTTAAACGTAACTTTAAAAGATGTTTTAATAGCTTTCGGCAAACGGAACATACATGGGACGCACACTGATTTGTTTTTTTGTTTTCACAAACCGGTATGGGGCCGTTAATGTCGTTAATGTACATTCCGTCACATACAACTAGATAATAGTAGTGAATCTTTTCTACGTCAGTTTCCTTAACGGAGGAAGTTGAAAGCATTTTTTTAAAATAAAGTAACACAAAACACCGTTCTAGCTAGCCTGCGTAGAAGGCGTTTGGAAGTGCGAAGAGAGTTCTTGCGCCCGTTCTTCCTTGCGCCCACTTCTAAGTTCTAGCTAGATCGGATCAAGGTTTCACGTGGTAGTTGTTGTTAAATCCCTATGAGTGACCCTTTTAGCTATAGCCTTAGTCTGCTACACAGCCGTTTTTAGTGTCGTCACGCAATGCTTCTCCGCGTTGCGTGACGACACTAAAAACGGCTGTGTAGCAGACTACTATAGCCTTGGAGGTAGTTTGAATCGTGTCATACGCTTTGAATAAGCAAGTAGAATCCGTCTCACATGACTGAAAAGAAAGCAAAAAAAAAAATAAATAAAGAATTATGCAAGAAAGGTAAAAAAGAGAAGAATAATCGAGTGGAACAGTAAAGAAAAAAAAATTCAGTGATATTGGAGTCTTTCAGACAACAATATCATCGTCATTACTGAGCTGGTCAGGTTTTCATTAAATTTTACTGGGAACTCGTACCCTAGTACAAAAGTGCGCATATATCTTGGAAAAAAAAAAACAGATTTAGCATGTAGTTTAGATGAAACGGATAAATATGGACTGACGAAAGATCGTTGCAGTTATTTAAAAAACTTTCACCACTTCGGACCACTTGGGCAATGTTGAAATTCGATATAATTTCTAAATTTTGAAAACCTTATAGAACCATTTAAAAATATGGCAAAAACGGTTACATATGCACATGAATTGTACTAACACCAAAGAATTTCATCCACAGACTCAAAAGTCATAAGACTCCATAATTCAATATGGTAATGATGAAGGCTTCACAGTTGCGGAGCTTACAAAGAACAACCTCATAATAATAATCATAATAATAATATCAATAATAAAAATAACATAATAATGATGATGATCATAATGATAATAATAGTAGTAATAATAATAATTAATCATAATAATAATGATAGTGGGGCTTAACATTTCAGTTCAGGCTTTCTTTTTCGACTCTTAGATCTGTTGATCATATAACCGCCACGGAAGTTCAAACTGTAGAAACAAGATTTTTTCATCTCGGCCAGTAAAACATCGGAGAGTGTGTAGCACCGGCCGTAATAAGATGTGTAACGCAAGGGAAAATTGTCAAATACTGCAATACCGTGAAGAAAATCGACTTAAAGGCAAAAAAAACCTCATCCTGCACGTTGGAAGGAACGCCAGCAATATTGCGCTCAGTTCATAAAAATTGACCAGGGGCACCCAACGACAATTTTCGGAAAATATCTGTTCGGAAGACGATTTGAGATCTAGAATTTTCGGAACATTTGTTGTAAAATTTCTTGCTTGCGTGCCTCTCCTAGGATTCTCGAACACCTAAAATATCGTATAATTGTCTATTTTTAACGGATTTTTACCCTAAAAAGGTCACCTAGAATTTTCTGGAGCCTTTTTTCTGGCTGGAATTTTCGCAAAGGTAAGTTTTGATCCCTATAATTTCCGGATCACTAGACTTTCAGCTAGGAAATCCGAAAGATGAAAAATTTTTAGGGGTTAAAAATACGCCTATATCTACCGTTTAAATACTAAAATACGTTTAACAATGCTATGTTTAAGTGGTTTTGAACTATACTCTCGTTGGGTACCCCTGATTGACCAAGAACAATTTTACGCGTATCGGGAGCCGATTATACTAATCGGCTCCTGGCGCATCAGTTCTTGTAAAAGGATTCACCAGGAGCCCATGGGACCCTGGTTTCACAAATTCATCAGTTTATTCGAGTTTAGCCTCGTCTGTGGCGCAGGGTAATCCAAAATATGCTGGAAAATATAGATTGGCTTTGTTTGTCAGACGTGTTTGCATGAGGTGCCTCACAGGGCTCCGAGAAGGGTCTACTCAATACATATATCACGGAAATAAGATATAATCAATATAATTATTTTTTAATACAAGTGGATCAATACCGGTGCTGGTCCGTGCTGTTTCTCACGTGATAAATCTACCAAATATTCTGTGCCTTAATCTTAGCGGATCGGCGCCGGGAAACTTCTTCAGCCACGTATTCAATCCCGTTCCTGTGACTTTTAACCAACGGAAATTCCACTCAGTAGCCGCAAGACAAGGAAGCGGTAAGACTCAGAATTTGTTTTTGAGCAGCTCTTTGCCTTTTTCTTCTGTTTTGGTTATAAAGAGGAAAAGATGCTAATTCATGAAACTTATATTGGGCGATAATGGCCATGGCTGTTCGTTTCTCATTATTTCATATCCTACGTGCTGCCACGTGATTTGCATCCCCCTTCATCGAGCCTCTACAAGGTCACGTCGTATATCACTTTTGCGAACTCCACCCCCGCTGTCTTCTGCATAGTTAAATTATGCGAGCGCAACAATTTGTAGCGGTATCAGTCTATAAAGTATATCAGCACGTCATTGAAAGATGAACGGATACGAGAAATAGGGAGTTCAGTTCCGATTTAGCATGCAGACACCATATATCAACTATTTTAGCTATTTTTGCATCTAAAGTGGCTTCTGATATTTTAAGCCCCTCTTTACAAGTGTTTATCACTTCAGAAGCGCTGTTGTTGCTTCCTGCCCTGTATTAGTCCAGCTAAAGAGACTGAATGTACTCGTCGAGTCATTCTCTCTCAGTTGTCCTATTCACAATTGCTACCCGAAGTGGGTGCACTATTGAAACTACAGTTAATCAAAATTTAATCACCATTTCTGTAAACTAAACTTTGTGGAATCAGAACCATTTATACATGTATTTTATTTGATTACAATAAAAAAACCCTCATGTCACTATGTAACTACACTAACGCCTCACTCATAAAAATTCAGAGTTACTAATTATAAATCCGAACTGAATAGTATGATTTAAATAATAATATAAAAAAGATGCTTTACGATGGTTTTATCAAAATTTTTGATCGACCTCCTGTCTATTAAGGCTGACGAAAATTTTTAAAACAAAACGAAACAGACAAACAATTATTTTCACCTAGCTGAAAATATTAGATTTAAGACATTTATGCTGGCTCATTGAGTGGACTGGTTCAGTAAGGGGTTTGAATTAGTCGCTAATGTCATGACTGCAAAACAATCAGTCATCAGTTCAGATTGGTCCCAGTTATTGTAAAGGGAAACAAAACTATAAAACCAAGACGACTTGAAAGAGAAAAGACCAAAGACTCGTCAACTGTTGACTAGAATGTTCTAAAGCGTTTTCTGTCTTCTTTTCCTTTTAGAGAATTAAAGCAATTTCATTACATACAAAAGCTGCTTAAAATTGAAATTATAATTAGACATTCTCCAGCTGCCTACCACCCTGCTGATACCAATTATTTCATTGTTTTTTAACAAGGCAAAACGAATCAAATTCCAAATCTGCGGGTATTAAAATAGAGATTAAAGCTCCATTTTTATCTAACACCAAATTAACACTTCCTTCGCTTTCCGAACATTGAAAGAACAAAGGGGCATTAACTAAGACACCTTCTTGTCTCTAATAGCCTTGGTAGAGCACTATTAGCCGTGGTTTTCGTAATTCACCTCTCTTATAATTTTCTTGCTACAATCCTCTCTAAATGCTTAATGTTTAGGCGAAACAGCCAAGTATTCGTGATCACAGCACTATGAAAACTTCGAAAAGAGCCAGCTCGATTTTTGAGATTTCTGGAATAGGCCAGGCACCAAGCAAAGATTTTTTCTCTTTAACCGTCGTTAACAACTCTATTATTTGGCGCACTTGGAGGATAACATTGCGCAACGAGAAAACGTCTCCGAGCGAAACAGTTCAATCGTGGCAAGAATTCACTGATACCTCAAATGGTGTAAGGCTGCAAGGAGAGATTCGACGAGTGTTTGGAAATGACATACTTTCCCGTGTCAATTCTTTAGTTTCACAATGCTGGTTGCCTTATATGAAGAGTGATATACTGGTTGAAATATTTGTTTGGCTTGATGTCCTTGACGTTGTTCGACTTGCACAGGTGAGATACGTGTATTTATTTCATAATTGGTGGCAGACCTTAACAAACATGGATAAATAGCTCGTATCAGGCGAAAGATTTTGGATAAACAGTGGTTCAAATTTGTCTTTCTCGATCATTCTTTAGGCGGATCATTTCTTTATTTATATGCTATGCAAATATTTTCACACACTGCAGTCGTTCGTGTCTCCGCGAGGAAACGTAAACTACAACACCATATAATCATAAAAAAGAAAATAAACCTGATTTTTTCTTGTCAATTTAAAAATAACTCGATGATTTACGAGCAACAGTGGTACGGAGTGTTATGAAATGGTGAATGTGAGAAAATAAACTTTTCTGTTGGATGTAAAGTGAACACATTTTAATGAGATAAATTTTCCTTGGCCAGTTATGCCATTAGTTTGTGTCTTTACCATTCGTCAGATTATTTTTTCTCTCTAAAATACCTCATTTCTGTCGTTTACTATTAATAGTTTTTGAACAAAAAGTTTGAGACACACGATCTCTTTGTCGAAATGTTTTTCCTTTTGCTAAAGGAATTTGTCTTTATTAGCGTGTAGACAAGAAAGCTTTTATTAAATGCAAACTCGAGGGCCAGAAAATCGTGAAAAATCGATTTCATGAGCGAAAAAAAAAAAAAAGTCATAACAAAGCTCGAAGTAGCACCCTTCAGAGCGGTTGAGATTTCCATTATTGGACAATTAGAAAGGTTAGTAGTCCTTCATGTTGTCAGTGTTCAGTGTGCTCCCTGGACTCCGATCCTTTGATCGAGCCTAAATTCATTAAATTCAGAGTTATTTATCACACAAGAAGGTGAGTTTAGTTTCAGTTCAGTTTGCATGTGAGCAAAGAAAAGAGTTTCTTTTCATTCGTTGCCCAACTGCATGATTTTAAAAAATGACCTGAGGCTCAGTAATTGATCTTCACTTCGCCTCACCTTCGAACTCAGTGCTAGCCGCCATTATGGCGAATAGTTGATAAAATTTTACAGAAACATTATTTCTGAACCCAACATAAGTCTCATATCAATTTTGAGATCCTCATTTTATCTCGATGGGTTTGAAAAATTAACAGAAAGATCTCGACAAATCTCTTTGTTCCTCCCAGTTTCGTACAACTCGTCAGTTTAATCAAAGGATCTCATCGTGTTCCTTGGAAACTCCCCCACCCAACCCTTCCTTCCTCAACCCAACATTTTCCGCAAAGTGCTTACATAGTGTTAATGTTGTGTAAGGAGAGGGCAGGTGTGGAATTTACTAGAAACACAATGTTCGATGTGAATGTCTGAATCATTATCCTCATTCACGCTGACTGAAAACCGAACGAAGTAAGAGTACATCATTGTCAAAATAATTAAGGGCGGCACTCAGTCCTCTAATCAATTCAGTAAATAAAAAAAGTTGTGTTAATTCAACTACCGGTAGTGAATTTGAAAAATAATTCCTCTAATTTTATGTTACTCATTCAATTCCGTTCCCACTAGTGCTATACTAATAATAAAAACCATATGGTATGTTAACTGAACATACGTCTTTTCGTTTCGTTTAAATTCTGATCAGTATATCGAAAACATTTCTCCTTCACAGTAAGTTATATTTTTTAGTGTTGTATAAACTGCCCTTGACTTTAAAGAACTTTCCAATCGGTTCTTTTGATCTCGTGGCAGACATTTTTTGCTATGTCCCTTGGGACTAATCTCGTACCCAGATCTCACTGTGTCTTACGCTGAAATTTGAGGTCTGGTAAAGGTGGATACAAGTTCATTTTTCATTGGCTGCTGGTAATAGTCGTGCCTTTCCCCTGGCCGTAGGAGATCTGGGTAAGAGATTACCTTGGAACGTGCAGATTCAGATATTTAGTCTGATGACCAACAACAACAACAAATTTTGCTAATAAACAGATAATATTGCAGAAGCATTGCCCGCAGTTAGCAAGGCTATTCAAAGAAGTACAATGCGTGAAAAATATGAAATTAAGACTGAGGCTAACAAAGGAAAGTTTACAGATTACAAATAAATGAAATAAAAATCGTAATATGGATGAGGACTAGATAACACAATAAAGAAGAAAGAATTAAACAAATAAATTGTAAAAGTATAAACTAATAAGCAAGAATTTATTTTCCGACATTTTTGGCGAATTTTACCTTTTCAATTAAGGTGGGCGTATCAATATAGTCATCTCAGGAGTCATCTTCTGAATTCAAAATATCAAGGAAGCAATTTGCGGAGTGTTTTTTTGACCGAGGCTTAAGGAGTTAAAAATATTATTTGGGACTCCAAAAATATACTTCACCCTAATTTAATACCTTGTGGGCGGGCTTACTTAAAATTTTTACTCATACGTTAAGTACAGGGAACTTAAAGAGGTCGATTTATTTTGATAGTAATCCAATATACTTCGTGGTAAACGATACGATATTCAAATTATGTTCTTGTTTTTGAGTTCCCCTCAAATTTAAGACGTCGAGAATTGAGAAGGTCAATCAATGGCTTGACGCTGATTATCATCGTCTATATCAGAGGTAGTGGGATAGTGCAGATACAGGAGACGGGAAATGGAAACGTGAGTAGGAACAATCAGCGAGGGGGTGGAGGGAAGGGGGTAGGGAGAGAGGGCGAGAGAACTCCCTCCTTTCTTCCTCTTCCTATCTTCCTTTTTTTATCCTCTACTCTTCATTTCGGGTCCTTCTTTATTATCTGGACGCCTGGAACAGTCAAAATCACAGCCAGCATGATTTTACTAGTTATCTTCAAGATTGTTGCTCGTGGTTTGGCCAGAAAATTGAACCCACGACAGACAGATCAGTGCGCCGCCATCTGAGCTCACCCGCGGCGGTTGATATTTATTATCCTGTATTTACCAATACACTTAGCAATCCCCCATAAAGAGGATAATCAGCCGATGTGGTCGGCAAAAAAAAACAACAACAACAAACAAAACAAAAACAATAGAAGACAACATAAAAACCTAAACAACAGCTAGCAACTAGTTGATTAGTTAGTTGGTCAATTCCGGAACAATGCCTTGTCCAACAATTTTGATGGGTATTGTCTCGGAACTAAGCAGGAACAGATCATCGGACGGATTAATTAATATTGTAGACATCTGGAGACACGGAGTTCCACTGAACTATAGTTTTAGGATATAAAAGGACAGTCTTTGAGTCGAGATAGTAGGACATGTCAGTAGTTCTGTGGGTTGGTGAGCCCAAATTGTCGCCTGGGTTTACTAGCTGATAGTTCAATAGGTGAGGAATGGCCCGAAATTATTATAGTCGATAGCTCAGAAATCGCAGGCCAGCACCAGTCATCGTTTGCCCATTGTCTATTTGAATATTTGAGCAACTTTCCTGATTCTCTCTAAGAACACACATCCTTTGAAATACTCTAACAACAAGGAGCATATCGGCTTAGATCATTGTTGCTCAGCTCCGTTCTCATATTTAGTTGGGACATGAAATTTCATTTCAGTCGTCATTACCTGCTTTCCTTTTTTTCAGGTGTGCCGAGCTATTCATAAAGTTTGCTCGAGTGAAGCTTTGTGGAGAAGACTGTTTCTCAAGTACTTTGTTGTCATTCCACCGAATGTCCTCTCACTTGCTCAAGGTGTCGGATGGAAGGACGCTTTTCGTTTAAATCGACAGAAACTTTATTCCGTCAAAAACCTGAAGAAAGTTAAAATTCAGGACATTGGCGAACAACTTGACGAGACATACGATCGGAGTAAAAAAATTGAATTAGTGGTGGCTTAAGTATGATATAGAATATAATTTTCTTACTCTATACAAGTACATTACCAGCCGAGTGGGCTCCAAATGAAAACTGATGATCGCAGGCTACCAAAAACGATCAGTTAGACAATCAAAACTTGACGTTATTCGAAAACGATTGCCTGGCTTTTCGTGCAAACAGTAACAGTACTATGAACAAAGGCCAATAATATACTTTTACTTGATTTTTTGAATTACTGAAGAATTGCACATGTGCACATCACTGCAAATTATAGCGACATTTGCAAACAACCAAACAGGTAAATGAAAAAAACAAAAAAAAAATACATTACAACTAAATTATTAAATGTCGCAAGTTAGTGCAAGAGGAAATAAATGTTCCTATTAGATCTTATTAATACGCGTTAACTTAGCTGCCTTCTTGTACTTACTAATTTAATTTTATTCAATACTCAAAAATGCAAGTAGACTTTGCTTTACGAAGATGTTACATTAAGTGCGATAGCTTGTATAAATAAGTCTACGTTTGGGTGGATCTCCATTCAATTCAACTTATTTTTTTGACATACAAGAAACTAATTTGAGCGTCCTCAGTATCATTATGTATGCCCGCACAGAGGATTTTGCTACAAGAAGGCCCTTTTCAATTGCCTGTGTTAGTTAACGTACCATTTTTTGCTACTAGCAGTGCTCATTTCTTCCAAAACTGAATACAAAATCTTATGATCATTTCTGATCATATAATTGGACTCTTTTCACGTCAGATGCCACATGGTCTTGTATTTGTCTTTGTACGGCAAACCCATTACGATGGTATCGATATCCCGGCTTGCCCTTCCTCCCCGTAAAGACGACAGAACCATTTGAAAATAACGAAACAAAGAGATCATGTAAGTTATGACTAAGATATTGTTCCCTAAAAATATGGTGCTTATTCTGGCGGTGCTAATTTAACGAAAAGGGCAAAAAAGTACTACGTGAAACCTGACGCACTTAGTCGTTTAACAAGCCGATGGTCTTAGCTTCCTTTCACTTTGGATGTTCATCAAACAAATCGGTCTCTTAAGATTTACCAATTATAATCTAAAGAACACGGTGTTCTTTAGGTTAAGTGTCGCGACCATACAAATCGTGATGGGTTTGGGCACAAAATTGGATTAGTTTCATTTCCAGTCTCACTAGCCGCTGGAGTTAAAAAATTCCCCCATTTCTAATCGTACTTGGGTATCGTAAAATACATTACCACTGTCACTACAATCACTATAATAGTGAACAACCAGAAGAAAAATTTGTCAATGATTTGAGCAGCAGTCTGCCATTTCTTTTTCTTGCTCTCCTCTTCTTGATCGCATGTCAGAGAACTTGCTACAGCTTCCAGCTTTGCGATAACTTGGTCAAATTTTCGTTCAATGTGCGAGGGATAAACGAATTCCTGTGCATTGTCAGTCGGAGAGATCTGCTTCGGTGAGCGACGGGGACTTGCATTCCCGTTTTCACTAACAGTGCGCCGTTGAACTGGAAAATATGTTGGCCAGCGGTCTCCAACCATGACTGGAGTGCATTTTCGCTTTGGCTGCTCTTTTGATGCTTCTTCTGATTCAACCTTCACTCCAAGGAGCTTGGCAAGGAATTTGAAAACCACAAAATTGAAACAAATAGACATTTTTGTCGATGGGTCTCGATGGTAAGTCCAGAGCACCAAGCAAGACACAACGAGAGAAGTTCCCAGAAGAGCCATGATTGCCGTGGAGTACTTTGTCAGAAGTGGCGTAACTTCAGAAGTCGGCGGAATGTTCTCTGTGAAGATTAGAGTGTAAACGGTAAGGCCGAGAAGAATAGTTATGATCAACGAGATTCTTTCTCCTGCCTCGGGAGGTAAGAAGAACGCAAATACGGTTAAAATCGCTAGTGCAACGCACGGGAAGATCAGATTGTTGAGATAAAACGTGACCCTTCTTCTCAAAGTCAGGTTGTAAGTGATGTCTATAAAAGGATCTGGACAGCAACTGTATTTGACAACATTACGCACAGCATCAGCAGAAACCAAATCCCATTCACCGTTTAAAATGTATCCCGATAAGTCCACTTCTTTGCGAGCCAGTTTGAGGTTGAGCGAGGAACTTGTATAGGTCCACGATCCAAAGACCATAATGCAGCGCTGCTGATCGAAGGGGAAATAAGTGATGTCGATTTTGCAGACTGTTTTGACCTCCGTTGGTGCGTACCATTGACAAGAGCCGTTGTGGTTGATAACCACTTTGGTGTTGAATTTGTACATCTCCCCACTGTCGCTCTGAATGCTAAATGGTAAACAAAATAAAAGACATTGTAAGGCTTCCGCACATATCGTCGAATCGTCAGTTACTATCAAAAACAGTCCTATTCAGGACTGTATTCACCCGAACGATCATATTTCACCTGCTTACTATCTACTGTCAACTCCCGTTAAAGAGGACACTGTAGGGACCTTGAGTTGGTAACCTCATTATCGAGAGCCCGTAATACAGGCAACTCTGACTGCAGACGTTTGACCGCAATAAACTCCCGTTATTACTGACTCTCGCCAATGAGGACTCTAACGCAAGGTCCCTACAGTGTCCGCTATAAGGCAGTTGACTATATCGGGGTGTCCGTTATAGTGGGGTGTCCGCAAGGCGGGAGTTGGTGGTATACCACTTTACCTGCTTCAAAAAGAAAAAAATGGAGTTCTATTTCCTCTCCAGGTCCCACCCCCTCCTAAGAATGTGTTTCGCAATTCAGGCTTGGCCTCGGCCCCAGTGTAATTGGTTCACCGCTGTTGTGGCACCCCTGCCTATCAAGCATTTATTATTCCTTTTTTCAGTAATAGGCGAAGCTAATAAAATAAAATAAAATAAAATAAACAAATAACCACACTTTGAATGGAGAGGTGAGGGAGCGGTCCAGGCTGATTTGTTCTCGAAAATATACCCCAGTTAACGGTGTCTCGACAATTTTGTCGCTGATTGTAAGTAAAAATTTTGAAACACTTGCGACATTTAAATGATAAATAGTACAAAGAAGGAGAAGGAGGATATATACTACCTGTTGTAAAGAACAATATCCGGCTTCCAAATGAGTTTTGGATCAATATTTATAAACTTTACACCACCATAATCATCCGGATTCCACTTCAGGAAAGGGTTATTCCAACTCTGAAAAAAGAAATCGAAAAGTGATCAACGTGAATTTTTCTGAAGAAAACTTATTCTTAAGGCAACGAAACGAAGAAGAAGAAGAAAACTGAATGTTTTTAA